TTGGTTTAGGGTTCAAAGCTAGAAACTCAGCGACGGGTTTGAGAAAGGAGTACAAGGGAGGAGAAAGCTTAATTGAGGAGAGAAAGGAGTGTGAATTTATAATTTTATCCACGTTTTAATGAAAATGTTAACAAAGGACCATTCGTAGAAATAAATATAATAATTGGGGACCAAATTAGTAATATTTGATATGTAGGGACTAAATATGTAAAACGACCTATAACTAGGGACCTTTTATGGAATTTACTCAATTATATACATAAAATTAAGTTCTTAGATATAATTACATCTACAACAACTATCTAAAAGCAGTTAAATTTGTTAAATATTTTTTTTGTAAACAGCTAATGCAATCGGTGGATCCACCGGTCAAAACAACTATCCACGTACCATTTAAATCAGCTTACACAAACAATTACCGAGTAACAATCAATTGGCAAATCCTAAAACTGGGCCTTAATTTTTTTTAGCCTTTACAAAGGGGTTCTACCGTCTTCTTAAATCTTCAGACCAGAGGATTTAACCTAGAAATTTCTCTCAGAGACCTTCAATAGCTCAACAATGTCAGGGAAAGAAGTTCGGGAATACACCAATCTTTCAGACCCTAAAGGTTCGGTTTCACCCTTTCTGCACATCAATTTCGCGCTAAGTGTTTGGATTTTGTCGAGACAGAAAGATTTTGCCGTCACTGAATTTATTTCCGTCCAAAAACACATATATATTTTCAGACAAGAAATGGGGGAAAAACAAGGACAAAGTAGATGACGAGGATATTACTTTCCAGCGCATGGTTTCCAAGGTTAGCGAATCCAGCTTCTCCTTCCCTTACTGGTTTTACCTTGAAAAAAAAATTACCAAGTTATTACCTTACAAGAAGTAAAACCCATCATTTGGCTTGGGTATGTGATTGTTAATGGGTTTAATAAAAATTATAACTTCGGCAAGGAACTTTATGAACTGGCCCAGTGTTTACTGAATTACTATGAGATGAGGTAACTTAAAAATTAGGATATAGGAGGGCTTACTTTCACTAGGATAGTCCCTTTGACTGAAGGTACTCCAATGATGTTAGTTCTCATGCATTCACGCGTGCAGTTAAAGGACGATTGTAATTTGTATAAATTTGTTCAAAACGAAAAGTGGAGTGAGCAGTTGGCAATTATCTAAAATCAAATTCTAAACTGTAGACATTATATCCTCTATGGTCTTTAGGATTTATTTCATGTGAGTTGTGTTTTGAATGTCATTAGGTGCTTCACATATTTGAAATGAATATGTGAGTTGTGTTTTGAGCGTAATTGTGTGCTTTACATTATTGAGATGGAATGCAATAATCTTGTGTTCCTCTTTTCTGCCCCGTGTTCTTTAGATGCACATCTAAAGTGGGTTTCATGCATTGAGGCTCTAGCCCCCCTTGCATCCTTAGTAACTATGTGTACAAGCACGACATAAGTCTTAAAAGTCTACAAGATACAGTAGTAAGATACCTTGTGAAGCAAGGATACATGTAAATGTGTGGTGAATGCATGTCAGACAATCCGGTCATATGGTTAAAACATGCTTCTTCTCTTGTCCTTTGTTTCCTCTTAAAATGGGTACATAGGGATGGTGTTGATGTAATAAAAGAGGAACTTGGGTTTTCGCTAAGAAAATGCCACCTAAAGAATTAATCTTGTTCGAGAACCCATAATCCCTTAAATGCTTTATTTCTTTCTCTTTTTTGTTTGGATCGGTGTTACATACTTGTTTGTCCTAAGTTTTGTTTGCAGCTTTGTAAACTGTATCTTCCCCCTAGGCCTTTGTTAGACTCTGTTATATTGCCCTAAGACATAACAAACTGGAATGAATCCACACTCTGATCTGTGCACGTGCTTCATTGCTTCTAGTAGTAGTCACAGAGCAACATTTAGAGTTTTTGTAATTTTTAAATTCTGTTGCATTTTTAATTGTTTTAAGTGGTTTGTTGTGATGTTGGTAGAGTAATTATGGTCGTGGGCATTTTGGTTGTTTGTAAATTAGCCCCAACTTATTGTCAGCCTTTGTCTTCACACGGGAGGCTCCATGAAAAAAGAATGATCTGAAATAATATTTTAATTAGTTAGTAAAAGAAGTTGTGAGACAACCCAGGACCATCTCATATATAGTCTTAGGAGAACTCAAGACCTCCTATTTTTTTTAAAGGTTAATATTGTTTATTCCTTCTCAATCTTGTGCCATTTTCTTATATCTTTACAGTGCTTGGAAAGATTGTTCAGTCAAGGCATGGTCCAACCATCTAACTGGTATTGGTAGACACTGAGACAGTCAAACTAGTAATACAATTATGGAATAAATTATTACTTATTTAACAATAATAAGTATTTGAAATACGCAAAAAGTTGCCACTAGAGTTAGAAGTAAGCCTGCATTTCAAATTTCAATTTAGTTGAGAAAAATAAGAGGGCACATGCTAGTAGGTTCCACGGATTCGGGTCTTCACTGCCGCCTCCCGCACCGGAATCGTCACGGGCGCGGATTCGCCGGCGGGGACGGCAGTTGGCGTACTGGAAACGCACCTGGATCCGCAGACTTCTACTCTACTACCCGGCCCGCCGATTGCTTCTTCCAAAGGAACCGATCCTGCTGCCGATTGCTTCCACCGCCTTGCAGCTGCGGCAACTATGCTGCCGCCGATTGCTTCTACAGCTGCAACTCTTTAATTCCCTCTTTTTTACCGATCCAGAGGCAGAGCAACCCTACCCCTTCTCTTTTACCAAAATTTAATTCTGCCGACTCCTTTGCTGCTTCGTTTTTCTTTCTTTTTTTCACATTATTTGGGTTGACTAGAGAATGTAGCATTGTTTAATTAAGTAGAATATTATTTTTAACATTTACATGCCTATATTTAATTTTTAAAATTATCTTTTGTTGCTGAATCCTTGCCATCCCCAGATCCTTAAATTTTTAAAAACGCCGATTCCTGAATCCGTCCCCGTCCCTGTATATGTACCCGCACCCGTCCCAGTGCAACCTAGCAAGTTGATGCTACTACATAATGCCAAATGACTCAACAACAAGCGAACACAACACAATTATAATTTCCCCCAATAAACATCAGTTCATTAATACTACCTTTGTCTGACATCGAATTTGACATTGAGCCAAACTACGCAAACTTTGGGCATGAATTAAATAAAATCTCCATTACATATTAGTACAAAATTATTCATTAGATTCATCTTGCAGAAGACATTAAAAAAATTATTTCATTATATTGATTTGCTATGCAAATATAATTGATGATTGAAGTTTGTCCAATTTGATTAGAAAAAGTCAAATTTGACAAATATTTTGGGACAAAGGCCGTATCTTTATAAGCTATTGAAAGAACCCAAATTAATGGAATCATCCTATTCTTAAAATTAAAAGCATGGGAATTTTGCCCCATGCTTTTTCCCGCCCAAATGCTATGGTCTATGGACCGTCGATTTTAATCTATTACATTTAATCTACGGTTATTATTAATCCATTTGTATCATCCTATTCTTAAAAGCAGGGGAAATTGCCCCAGCCATTTTCCCGCCCAATTGCACAAGCATTGTGATCCGTCAATTAGCATCAACATCTTGATCAACGGATGTTATTGGTCTTTGAAAATAAATCAACGTTTCCATATATAATTGTGCAATCAACAAATAATAAGAATAAAAATAACATTTCCATATAATGATTACCTTATATAGCTTTTGTATAATATTAATTTAATTATGTAATACGTTTTAAAACTTTTAAAATGATTACCTATACTTCATTCATATTACCTTTTGGTAAGACATTACTACCTTTTAATATCCATGAACTTTTTAGGAGTTAATAAACTTTTGTTTATTAATTTTATTTACAATACATTATTATCTTTTAAAGAGAAAATAAATTCTTGATCAATGATTAACTATTTTATGGAAATATATTATTTTTTGTTAGGCATGTATTACGTTGCAATAGTAATAAAAAACTTAAGCTAATAATGGTAATAATTTAAATAACATGCAAATAGCATTTAATTATGGAACAATTTTTTTTATCATTACCTTATATAGCTTTTATATAATGTCAATTAATTCAGACAAACTTTTTTATAGCTTTTAAAAAATTTACGTTTGAGCTTTAATTTCAATTTTACGTTAATGTATTACCTTTTATAAAGGTAATAAATTTTTGTTCATTTAATTCACTTACGGTACATTATTACCTTTTAAAGTGAAAATGAACTTTTATGATCTTTTATGAAAATTCCGGTAATATACATTAATAAACTAAATATAAATTATAAAAATAAATAATGTCAATTTATTACTTTTTATATAATTACTTTAAATTATTACCTTTTGTGGAAATATATTATTTTTGGTTAAAATAATAATAAAAAAAATAAGATAAAAATGGTAAGAATAATAACAAATACAGAAAGATGAATATCATACATTATCTATACAATATTTAAAAAGAGGGAGGAATTTTTTCCTGCCTAAACGTGAGAGAAAAAAATAGAAAGTTTTTTGCATGTTACTTTATTGCATTTATTCTAAGCATTAATACTGGTAAGTATTACTTAATAAGTACTATATTGCCATTTTTTGTAGGGAGAATATAAAAATGTCAAAGTAATACTCCATCCGTCCCAAAAAACCTTTCTCCTTTCTTTTTTCATCCGTCCCAAAAAACACTTCTCATTTCTATTAAAAAGTCACTTTTACCCCTTACTTTTTCATACCCTACCTATCACATCATATCTTTTTTACTAATAATCTATCCATCAAATCATACGTTTACCTATCACATCAAAGAACATTTTTGAAAATTCAATACCAAAATACACTTTCCTTAAATCCCTCTTCAAAATCAAAACTCCCATGTTTTCTGGGACGGAGGGAGTATATAGAAAGTGTGTGTGTACTCGAGTAACATGTGAGTAAGCATTAATAATTGTAAGCATTGATTAAAAAATTTTATGTTTCCATGTTTTTGATTGGGTGAATATAAAAAATATATAAATCGTATTTCTATGTTACCATTTTTATTAAAATGCTAG